ATTTAGCCAAAGAGAAATAATAGCCACCAGTGTAATTTAGCCACGAGAACAATTTTAACAAGAATTGTCTTCGAACATTTTTGGGAGAGCTTTCCTCGTAACCTCGAGAAGAGTCCGCCGTCGGCTTGTCTTGCTATTTATCTTTCATCCTGACCCGGCGCCCAAAAATCCTCTCCGCGGCCCTGGAAATGAGCAAAGACTTGCAGTTTGGAAATGCTTATCTTTCAAGTTTAGTAATGTTTTCAGATGCATCGATCAATGTTCTTGCTTTCATTTCACAATGTCCTCCAATCCCAAGCGTGTTTATGAATCTGGTGCGAGCAAAAGGGCCGAAATGAAACGTAAAGTCAAATCTCCCTCCGCATGGAGAATAGGAAGAAGAAAAGGTCACGAGCCATGTCTTTGGTGAATCTTCTGAAGCTACTGAAAGGAACGATGAAAGTGCGAGTCAACCTTTTTCTCAAGCAAAATCATGCCAGCTTTATCTTCCAGTGTTATCCAATCCAACTGATCATGGTCATCTTAGTGAAGATGTGCTTGATACTGATCTTAAGAGATTGATTTTGCAGCATAGGCCATGTCGACATGAGTGCATAAAGAAAGATGGATCTGTCCCTATCAAGGCCATCAGGCAGTAGTGCAGTGGAAGAGGGACTCAGGGGGTCTCCCTTGTTAAAATTCAGAGAGGTTTTTGGGGGCTCAGCCCCTTTCAACCAGTGAGTTCATATAATGTTGGGCGAATTCCTGTATTGACAACCCTTTTTTTATACTATAGATTCCTCATGAATGAGCAGTTTCTTTGAATGATTCCTACACACAACGGAGGGTCTTTAACACAAAGGAAAGTAGATTGGGTGTGGTAAGGGTGTGGTCATGGGTGTAGCCTATTGAATTCGTCTACAGCACAGCCCCCCTTCATAACTTTTGAGAACGGCACCCCCGCCATCAGCAATTACAAATTAATAAGAACATACAAAAGAGCTGGTCAACAGTGTAGAATCATGGATAGATGTTAGAAATCGTACAAAAGTATTTTTGATTCGCAACGAGACCTCACTAAATTGTCAAAAAATTATTTTTCCAGAAAATAATACTTAAAATAGAGTCCGGGGAAACAGAATCTCTTCAATTCCATCATAGATGATTCCATTTGACACCCGATCCCTTCTAGTTATGCCCATAAAAAAGATATTTTGAAACTTGGTTGGCAATTGCAGAAAGACGGGAACGCAACCTATCAAAACTGACCTTCAAGGCAATTGACAACAGTAACTGGCCTACAATTATTAAACTCGAGCTGCAAACTTGTAACAGAGTACTTCCGAGGTAGTAATGAAACTCGTATAAGGCCATCACTAATAGCAGATACTTTTGAAGATGCCGCTGCAAAGTGCTTTAATGCCTTACCTGGACTTATAAAATCTCAGTCTAACTTCACGACGTTCTGTTCCAACTTAAAGAAGCATTTATTTGAAAAAGCAAATAACAAATTGGACTAAAAAACATTATTTCTTCATATAATTATGTAACTGTTCTTAAATTTTGAACATATAATTTAGCTTTGCTTCTAATTTTAGAGTATACCTTGAGCAGGGGCGGATCTAAGCAACAATGATTGGGGGGGGGGTGTTAGACACTAATTTTGGTGCCACACCCTTCAGGTCACTGGTAAATTATGAAAACGCCCATTTTTAAAATTCCTTTTTTAACTTTAAGGTAAAGACGATAAGAAGCAGTGGCGTAGCCAGTTTTGAAGATTGGCGGGGCAAAGAGGAGAAAATTTTTGCTGACCACACCCTTAAGAAATTAGGAAAATACCCCATTTTGCAAAAGCGTTTGGAAAAGCTATGGCTTTTTTACGTGGAAATTTCGCTTTATACAACGTCATATCTGGCTTTTTGTGGCTGACCCCATTCTACAACACCTTTTCCCTTGACAATTCATCTAACGCTTACATTCTGAATTGTGTAAGGCGAGGAAGCACTACGTGTAAAAACTGATTCTCCACAGTTTCAATCAAATATCTAAAAATAAAAAAAATCCAAATTTTTCAAACTAAATCCGTTCTTCTTGGAGCGAAATCCCCGCCAACCATTTCAGAATCCAATTTTTTTAATAATTGAAGCGCATTAGCATTTTAGTTTCTATTTTATCGGGATTGTATAAAGAACGTAAAAGACTTTTCTATTTAAATCCTATAACGTGGGATAAATTGTTGAACATTCTGTATAGTTATAAAGGAGGGTCCCTGTGCGAGCAAAGCGAACAGGGAATTTTATCTTATCTTATCAGATTAGCTTGAATATTTCTTACAGTCGTTTGCAATCTTTAAAAACGTTTTAATATTGTCTGAAATATAAAGTCCTCCTTTAAGGTACTAATTTTATTGCAGATTTGTACTTTTCTCAGACACCGACTTTCTGAGCGGCCGCTCTCCTTGCCTCCCCCCGCTACGCTACTGATAAGAAGAATAAATACTGATATCAAGGAGATAAAAAAGTAAAATCTTGGCGTTAATTTGTTACTGCTGACTACCAAAAAAATGGTTTTTACCAAATGGGACCAAATTTACCGAAGGAGACAGAAATATTGGGGGGGGGGCGTCGCACCTCCTACCCCCCGCTCAGTCCGTCCCTGACCTGGAGACATGATTCTGTACTTCACTGTTTGACTAAAACCCTTTCAACACTGAGAAACAGCTCACTTTACGCGGACCTGCCTTCATTTCTATCACCATCTTTAATCACAACAAAGTTTCAGTTGTACAACTTACGTAATCATAGAGTTTTTGTGCGATAGCCAGCAATGGACTAGGTATAAGTACCTCAGTCTAAATAAAGCCTTTGGTGAAGTTTTAAAACTAGGTCTACATTTCATTTTATGTAGCACTTCAGATTACGTCAGGAACCCAAGTTTCAGTTAAAAAACTTGAATAGTTACAAAGTTACAGTGCAAGACCCAATATAGGACTGGGTACAAGAACCATAGTTTGAAAATTGATTTTGTGAAATTTTTAAAGCTTTTTTGCATCCCATTTTATCCAGCACGTCAAATAACGCCAGAAAAAAGTTTCAGCTTTATAACTTGCAATGTTAAGAATGTTGTAGTGCTATACCAGAAAGAGGACTGGGTACCAGTACCTCAGTCCAAAAATAGCTTTTGGGGGCTTTTTTGAAGCTTGATATGAACTTCATCTTATTCAGCAAATCGGATTGTGTACTTGTACTAAACTTCATGCTATTATTATAACATGCACAATTTTACTGCTATGCGTCTGCACTATCAGGAAACTCAAGAAAGCAAGTTTTTGACAAAACGAAAACGAAAAGTTTCCACAGCCATAACTTTTTGATTATAGGTCCGATCACATTGCTCTTTTTAAATCTTTTGCTCAGTTTTGCATGTTCTTTCCGATAGTATCATCAGATTTGAAAAATTCGAAAGTTGAAATTTTGCTGACCGTGCATATTTCATGCTTCCGGAAACGCAACTTCCGGTCATTTGCCAGAATGTTCCCAGGGCTTAAAATGATCAGTGGCCTCTACTCTTATGCTTTAAAATTTAAAAACTTCGGTTACCCAGTTTACTAGAATGTTATGCAAAATTCCCTGTCTATTTGTATTATGTATTTTCTAATGAGTTACATTTTTTCTTTCAAACAGGGCCCTTATTGATAACAATACTCGTAGTATTGACAAGGTTTACCCTGTAGAAATAGTCCTCTTATTATTATTATTATTATTATTATTATCATTATTATTATTATTATTATTATTATTATTATTAACGATAACATTCACTCTTTATGGAAAAATACCAGCAGTGGCACAAATATACAATATGATATATCAAACACCAATAATAGGAACACCAAAGAAGCATTAAAGGCTGTCCAGCATGAGCATAAAGATCGTCTGCAAAAATCCTAACCTCCCAAGGATCTTTATTATCACATCTCTTTAACCAGAATCTTCCACAAATAAACAAACTTTGGTCCAAGGTGCAAAGTAGCATGCCTCAGAATATTTTCAATGTTACGATGAGGTATCTGAACAATACCCTTGCCACACAGAAAAACCTGAAAAAATGGAACTTGAGCCAGACCTCTGACTGTTCTTTCTGTTTTCTGCCAGAAACCCTCCTTCATGTCGTGCTGGCTGCAAAACATATCTGGAACAAGGCCGATACACCTGGCGACATAACTCTATCCTAAACTTTCTAGCTACGTCACTAAAAGCTGTCAATGAATCTACCATCTACGCTGATATACCAGGCTTTCTTTCACCATCAATCATAACTGGAGAAAACCTTCGCCCTGATCTTCTCTTGAGGACTAACAACAATTACCTCTACATTTTAGAGCTAACTGTTGGCTTCGAATCTAATCTTGAGACAAATGCTACAAGAAAACACAGCAAGTATGCTCCTCTCTTATCTGGTTTACAGCGGCAGTTCAAACGTGTCTCC